TTCTGGGTGTCATGCTTTCTTATTAGGTGCTTGTGTTATTCTCTCTAAGTTTATAGATTATGATGTTTATTTCTTTGCAATGTCAGTTGTTTTTAAAAATAACAAAGTGACTAATTAAAAAATGAAGATAACTATAGTCGGTGGAGATTCTCATCTGTAGTAGACTTGGAATTTGTTTTCTGAAATGTGTCAGCGCTTCACACTGTTCGCTTTCTTCAGCTTGTCTTCCAATATGTTAGTCTCTGAATGATTAGTCTATAATGCTTGCCTTTATTGGCATGGTCCAGAAAGAAGATAATCCTGCTAGAGTGCCGCTGGAAAACAGGAGCGCTAGCATATTTCTACAGCATGTTTTCATACATTAGGGAGCAATGCACAAGCATCACTCTGCGTGTAAATGGCAGTGCCAATAAACCTCTGTGGCAAAGGTTGGCTTATTATTTTACTGTTCATTTTGGATTGGTAGCAGAGGAGTTACTCTTGTAGCTAGAGTACGCTCTTCGAGAAGAATTGTGTGGCTCTTCATGAGAAATGCACACTTTTCTTTCTTTTATTGAACTAAGGGCCTATTTATCAAAGAATCTTAGCTTAACTGCATTTCAGATAATTTTTAACAATTAGTGCTTTTTATATTTACAATGAATTATGTATAAAGTATTGATAAAATGGAGTTAAAAAATGAAGCACCCAGGGTATGAAATATGAGTAAAAAATGAACTTTAAATAATTTTCAAAAGTGTCAAACCTAGGTCTAAAGTCAAACGTCAGAAAAGGTTGCTAGGGTTGATAGGAATCTTTAAGTAAAGGTCAACACCAAAAGGCTAATATTCTGAAGTAATAAATTATACAGATGAATGCAGTGGCACCATGCTGTGCCACTGTAATTTGGCAATTCATGCATAATTTTACTATTATTTTTAGGTTCCTCTTTGCTTATATGTAAACTTTCCTAGGCACTCATTCTGACAGTATCCCCCAGTCAGGACAGCAGTTAAGTCATGCTTTAGTACAGGTTATTTCTGTCCTTACAGAAATAAGGACAGAAACAGCGTTAGTTTGTGATTCTGTAGTCACATACAACTTTAATTCTGAAATCAGTAAAACAGTATGAGAAGCTGACATTAAACATTAACAATAAATATTTTCTATGTATAGGCTCTTCTGCCATAAGAAGCATCTGTTTAAAGTGGCTAAACGTGATCATTCAAAATAATATATTCAATAAGTGCATTTATTAAATTATAAATAGTTATAAATGCTTTTTATGTACCAAATACATATTTTTGGCAGTATGCTACTTTGGAATGCATCTGTATAATGTATTTTATTCTTTAATCAGAAGACTTGCTTACCAAAACTTTATATAGAGATTTATTGAAAGTATTTTGAAACTTATTAAATTTAATTCTTTCTTTTGAATGTTGATAAAAGAACTATCTCTTTTAAAACTGTAAAATACTTTTACTATCAGAAACTGCAATAGAAGTATTTTTTATAAAACCCTTGAAGTCTGAAAGCTGACAATAATTATATATCTTGCTTGTTCATTGCACACACATACTTATTTTCATTGAAATAGAAAATTTAAATTTAGATTATGACTGTCCAAATTACCTTTGTCAGCAAAATAGCCTCTACTCACTATTAACAAAATAGGAAGAATTAGCTTTTTTAGTCAATACATCTTCTATTCCAGTCTTGCATCAATTGTACATAATGCACAGAGTTTAGTAGTCTCTTTTTTAACTTGTTTAGACTAGAAAGCAACTTTCAAGAAAATCATTATGCCTATTAATAACTGTAGTTGAAATACCACAACTGACACAATTTATTGTTCTTCATTACTTACTTTCAATGCCTGCAAGCAACCAAATGAAATTTGTTTCTGCTGTGTGAAGAACAAAAAGTTTGTGAGTTAGTAAGTTCAGTTAGAAATAAAACTGACTTTTTTGCATCCTGCTTGATATAGTTGATTATCTAATTACAATAGTCTGCAATATAGGTATCTAAATGTGACATTTAAAAAATAAATTTAACATAATATCTCACTTCAGTGTATTGAGCTTGCAGCTAAATTTGCCTAGAGCAAAGGCAGACATGCGGTAGTAATTCTGTACTTGTTCTGAATAACCAACCTAATGGTGTGCTGGGTGAAGAACTGGCTGAAGGGCAGGGCTCAAACGTTTGTGGTGAATGGGGCTACATCTGGCTGGCGACTGGTCACCAGCGGTGTTCCTCAGGGTGTTCAGTTCTAGGGCTGGTTCTGTTCAATATATTTATCAATGATCTGGATGCAGGAGTTGAATACAACCATTAGCAAGTTTGCTGATGATACCGAACTGGGAGGTGCTGTTGACTCTGTTGAGGGATGAGAGGCCTTGCAGGGGGATCTGCATAGATTGGAACATTGGGCAATCATCAATGCTTTATTTAACATTTGAAAATTTAACAAGTCGAAATGCTGGCTTCTGCACCTGGGACGGCGTGACACCAAGCACATGTATAGGTTGGGAGAGGAGTGGCTGGAGAGCAGCCCTACAGAAGGGGATCTGGGGGTGCTGGTCGACAACAGGCTCAATATGAGTCAGCAGTGTGCCCTGGCAGCCAAGAGGGCAAACCGCATCCTGGGGTGCATCAAACACAGAATAACCAGCTGGTAAAAAGAGGTGATTATCGCACTGTATTCGGTGTTGATGTAGCCTCACCTGGAGTACTATGTGCAGTTCTGGGCCCCACAGTTTAAGAAGGTTGTGAAGGTCCTTGAATGTGTCCAGAGGAGGGCAACAAAGCTGGTGAAAGGGTGGAAGGAATGTCCTATGAGGAGCAGCTAAGGACTTCGCGCTTGTCTAGACTTTGGGCTGAGGGGTGACCTCATTGCTCTTTACAACTTCCTGAGGAGGGGAAGTGGAGAGGGAGGTGCTGAGCTCTTCTCCCTGGGATCCAGGGATAGGACGCATGGGAACTGCTCAAAGCTGCACCGGGGAGGTTCAGACTTGACATGAGGAAGCATTTCTTTACCAAGAGGGTGGTCAAACACTGAAAGTCTTCCTAGAGAGGTGGCTGATGTCCCAAGCCTGTCAGTGTTTAAGAGGCATTTGGACAATACCCTTAATAACATGCTTTAACTTCTGGTCAGCCCTGAATTGGTTGGGCAGTTGGACTAGGTGGTTGTTGTAGGTCCTTTCCAACTGAACTATTCTATTCTATTCTAACTGTTTAGAAGTTAGAGGCATGCAAGGCCTCTGTGTGGAAAATGAAAATACAGAGGTTTCTAAAGCTTATACTGTCTTCAAAATGTGGACTTCTACATATAAACTGCCTTGTTTCATTTTAAGCCTATTTCTCTAAGGTTGCAGATCATACGTGGTTACCACATCTGTCTTCTCCTTCCAATAACTTTTCAAGCTGAGGACTTGCTTCATCAACATTTTACAGAAGGAGAAAAGTCTCCACTGTGCAGAATTCCATGACTTTTATAAAGCTCATTTGTTGATTATTTAAAAAAAAAAAAAAAAAAAAAGACCCAGATTAGCAGTGCTGCTGAGGAAGGGCTGCAGAGTAAGGCTAACAGGTAGCTGTTGTGTTTGGAGTGCTGGCTAGATACTCATTGCACTTGCACAGGTTGCTCACTTTATGGAGAGCTCAGAACTACCCTTGATATTGACTGTTGTGTCTCTCCCAGCTAGGGCAGCTGATGAGTTTTGCAGAATGCCTGGGAAAGAAGGGTGTGAAGGTGATGGGCGGATATTTGGTTTGTAGAGGAAGGAAGAATATTAGTCACAGGGTCTTGAGGCTATGGTGGGTAGTGGAAAAGCCATCACAGAGTTCTTACGTAATTTTAGAAATATCAACAATATGTAGGCACAATATACAGCAGTAATGCTGTAGTACTTTTCCTGTACACATATGACAGAGGAGGAGAGGGGTTATCCAGGACTTGATGAGATGACTTAAAAGAGCACAAAATCATTCTCTCTCCACCCTCATTCTCTATCTTTTCACATCCCGTAGTAGCAGTTCAGTCTGTTGAACAGCAGAAGTATCTAATTAGCTGGTTAGTGTTATACATAGAAGTGAAATGATTCTTTTAAAGATTCACACATCTTTATATATAGCTATGACTTTAAAAAGTTCCCAGGAGAGGTAACAGATAGTTTTAAGATGTGCATACAGTTTTATATATTTGTCTATATATTACAGACTGATATGACTGAGTATCATCTTAGAGGTCTTTTCCAACCTTAATGATTCTATGATTCTATTGAGGCCCTTAGGGACATGGTTTAGTGGGCATGGTAGTGTTGGGTTGACGGTTGGACTTGATGATCTTAGAGGTCTTTTCCAACCTTAATGATTCTATGATTCTATTGAGTACTGCTTTAGAAACCATTGATTTGTACTGGTTTTTATTTGTATTTGTTTGTTATACTAAGAAATTATTTAGGCTGCAAATTACTTAAATTTGCTTACTGTATTTCCTACACATTAATCTCACTTTTTTTTTTGTCTCAAGAGAATGCAACCTTTACATGTACTTTCCTTATATTTCTTTGCCTTGTTAATTCAATATTGTCTTCTTTTTATTACCAACACTTTATTTTTGGAAGCCCTTATGTTATTTGCAAACCTTGTTTCTTGTAGTCTTGCCCAAATAATTTGTAGCCTAAGAAATTAGTGAGGATATATGTATCTAATCATTTCACTTTATAACTTTGTATATTTTTTGTGGTATATTGTAAAGGTCTGACCTTAATCTTTTCTTAAGATAGCACAACAGAGAGCAGTTGTTTAAGCCATCTAGAGGCAGAAAAATAATCCAATGTAATGTTTAACTAGTTGTTTCTATTGTGGGGATTTTCATTCAGTTGTAAGAGTTTGCATGCACCACCACATTTTATTTGCTTGGGATCGGAGGAGTATTTTATTTTTTCAAACAGTGCATTTGATACTTAAGGACTTCAGAAAAGTTGCAGTAAAATCTTTGTTTATTCTATCTCCAGAACAAGTTCATAGGCACTTGGATCAGCATGAGGTGAAATACTTGCAATTTGCTTTCCGTTGGATGAATAACTTGCTGATGAGAGAAGTCCCTTTACGGTGTACCATCAGGTTATGGGACACATACCAAGTAAGTATTTTTTTAAACCTCCATAACTCTGATAGTGTGTTTTGGACATGCCAGTATGTTTGTGTGTGTTTTTTCTTGAACCTTTTGTTTTAGTGTCATTGAGAATCATCATAATAAGAGAAAAAGCCTTCAGTGATCATTACCACTTAGGAGCTTTTAATGTCTTCAGTCTTCTTGCCCTTCAAAACCAAGCACTTGATGTCATGATAATTTATAGTAGTAAAACGAACACTCACTCAAAGCATGCGTTAGTGTCAATACTCTCTTCTGTCTCTTCAGAGAAGCAAAACATTGAATTGTGCTTAATCAATGCCCTCCATCGATTCTGAGTTCCAGGCTTCTTACTGCCCATCTGCTTAACTACTCAATCCAATACTAGCTTCCAGTCTCCAGTTCTCAGCGTTCATCCTTCTGTCACGTCTTCTGTCTTGTTGTTTGTCCAGACAAAACTCCTTATGTTACTGACCTCTAATTGAGGTAATTATTTTTCCTCAATAAGTTCTTGCCTGACTGTCAAGTGAAGGAATTGATATCAGAGAAAAACTGTTTACCCATTCTTAGTTCTGTTACTTGACATTCCAGTAGCTTCTGCTTGCAATTTTTAACTATGTATTTAAACAGTATGCTCTTATCTACTATCTTTGTTGTTGAAGTTAACGGGGCAAAAAGAAGGGGGGGGGGGAATTTTAAATTCCATGAGAGTTTTCAACTCAATTAGTTTAGTAAATATGGGAATAACGCATAATTTATAATGTCTCATAAAGGGATGTAACATCTTTAAATATCAGTGTATTTACATCTGCTTGTTACGTAGCAATGCTTAGTTAGTTTCATAGGCTTTAATGCCAGAATGTCCACTTAGACCATCTATTCAGACCTCTAACAGAGGGTTAAGAATTGCTTGCTATTCATTTAATGAATCCAGTAAGTTGTTTCAGTGAAGTGTGTTTTGTAGAATGGTATGCAAATCTGATAAAATGTTGAGAAATGAGGGATCTATCACTTCTATTGTTAATCTGTCCTAAGAGGTGGTATCCTTGCAGGTTTGATTTGGTTGTTCATCTTCAAGAAATTTCTGAATTGAATTTGGCTATTGCTTCCATCTGGGATCCTTTTACTTCCTCTGTCTCATTATAACATCTATTAGTAATTTTTATTTCTGTTATTACCTGGCATTTTCTTCCAGTGGAAAATATTTATTCTTTGTAAGATCTTTCTGATAAACTGAAAGATTAAGCTATTTAAATGTTTCACTGTAGCTAATTTCTCTCATTTTGAATAATTTTTGTTGCTATTGCTGCAGCATTTCTAAACCCTGAAGGTTTTTTTTACCATGCTGACTCTAGCACTGCATTTGGTATTTGATGATTAGTCTCATCAGCGTGCTAAAATGATGTAAAAGCCCTTCCTTAATCCAGCTAACCACCCATATGTGTCCAAGGAATAGCAGATTTTGCCAAAACTTCACTTCTGTGAGCTATGATTCTACGATAATGTTGAGAAATTTCTTTTGAAGTCTAAGCATGTGGTTATTTCTCAAACTAACTGTTGCCATGCTGAAAGGACAGCATTTCTCATTGCTAGTCCACAGGCACCTGTCAGGTTACACTTCAATGGGATCTTTATCCATAATAAGTGGTTGTGATTATTTAATTCTGATTTTGGGCAAATTCTGCTGTATTACAGTAGTTCTCTATAATATTTAAAATCTTAATACTTATGTATTTACATGGGATTTCCAAGTGTATCTTTTAAGTGAAAGTTTCTTATACCTAAATACCTAAATGGGATTCTTATACCTAAGTGAGATTATTTTTGCATATTAAACATGCTTAAGGAGTAATTCTGTGTTTTGACTCAGCAGGTGCAGCAGATCTGTACTGTCTTCTACATTTTGTTATTTAGCAGACTGTTCTGTGTGCACTTCTTGGTGAACAGTGTATTTAAAACCAGTAAGGATATCTTAATGTAGACAGTCACCTATAGTGCCAACCCTTTTTTGAAACAACCTCAAGCTGTTCCACAAGTTGCTTATCAGATTTCAGTTGTGCTTATACCAAATTTATTATCAACCTATAATATGGATCTTATCAACCTGATAATAAATGCAGTGAACCTACAGGAGCTGGTAAAATTTGTGCAAAGTTTTTGCTAAAATGTTAAGCAATAACATTATAGATTTTTACACAAATAACTTGTCACTAAGCCATTCGGTTGCTTATGGTTTCTAACTTAATCATTTACAACTGTATCAGCAGTGCTGCTTTCCAAATGGAAAACACACTTTAGAGATGGAATTTGTTCAGTTAGTTTTATCTTCTGATTCATATTTTTAACTGTAAAGCCTGCTATAGGCCAAAATGTCATTTAGGGATACATCGGTAAAAAGTTTTTCAGAGGGTCTATCTATGGATGGACCTGTGATGTTGGATTTGAGAGAGATATGTAAAATTAGTAAAGGCAGAAATATTAATAGAGGATATTATTTTTGAAAGAAATTTAGCTTTCCAGATACAGATGGAAGGACCAATCCTACTAATAATTGTAAGGGCCTGGATAGATGCTTAACTGCTTTTCTCACTGTACTCAAAGGCTGATGACGCTGTTATCAGGCTTGCTTTTGCTACCTCATGTGTCCTAAAGCAGGAAAGGAAGAAAACATGGGGATTCTCCTTAGATTTCCACACCTATGCCTTCTATTTTAGTGGCTACTCAGGATGTGCATGTACTGACTTTTTCCCCCCTATTATTCTCGATCTACTGAAAACAGAAATGCATTTAACTGCAGTATAAGTTCAGAGGGAAGGTGAACTAATCGTGTTGCAACGTAATATTAGCCACAGCATGGGCTACAGGCATCCCTACACTGCTGATGTGAGGGCTTTTGCTCAGACTCTACCTACCTGACGGCTCTCGGGAAGGGATGAGGTGTTTTGCAAGGCACTGTTTACACGCAGCTCTAGTCCCAGTGCATGGCATGATTCGGGAACAGCATAGGAGCGGTGCCAGAGGAGGGTCAGGATAGGTGGGACAGTCAGATTCCTTCATGTGGAAGGAATGGGAAGACAGGCGGGGCTGTCATATTCCTTCATGTCTGCACCAGGAGTGCGTTCTGGCTCCCCCATTTCCTGCAGAAATCCAGGGTGATGGTGGATGGCCTCCTTCCCCTCCCAAGGACTAGAGAACAGTGGCCTCTCTTGAAAGAGAGGATCCTGCTGATGGTGTTTTCACAGAAAAAAAAACGTTTTGTCTCCTTTGTCTTCCCCTCTCCCCATCAAAGCTGAAATAATGCCTTGTCTCACTGAGCTGCACGTTTTCCTCTGTTTGCAGTGGAAAAATAAATACTGTGCTGTCTCCAGCTTAAATTCCGGACTGGTAATTCTCAGAGCAGGCCCCATTTTCTCATGAACTGCAACAGGGGCTTTTCAGCGGAATGACAGCACACTTAAATAGTCTGCTGTTACGTATTTCCTAGCGCAACAGATAACTGTTGTTGTCTGGAGTTGTTAGAACCACATTCTGTCTTTCAAAATTTGTTGCATTGACTTTGGTGAGAATAGGATTGGATGCTTAAATGATGTCCGTCTCTGTCTCAGTGTGTATGGTAGCAAAGGTACTCTAGCTCGTGTCATATTTTCTGTCTAGTTTAATTTAGTTTTCATCAGTCATTTGTTAGGCTCTGTGTAGTAAATCATTGAACATGTAATCCCAAATACCTGTACCTGAGCTAGTTAGTTGAGGGGAAGAGAAATTTGGAAAGGTTCCCAAATCCTCACTTCAGTAAATACTCTGGTATTCTGTAACTGTATCTATGAAATCCACTAAAATATATCACTGTCTTCTGTAGCAGAACTTTGTAAAGTAGAAAAATTAAAGACATTATGCATCTTGCTTACAAAAGATATGTTGTGAGAGCTTCTTAGCTGTAAATATTTAGTTTCGTTTATTCTTTAACCTGAATTGCATTTTAATGAGAGTGAATTATTCCACTTTTTCACTTGATTCAGGCTTTGCTATTGTTTCTTTGTTGTTTTTTTTAAAAGATAAATGCTGTAAATACCTTGTAAATTCTTTCAAAATAGAAATTGCTTGTTAAGTTATGCCCAAGACACTCAAACTTTAAATCTGTAGAACTGATCAATATAAATGTTCATAGACTGTGTCAAGTGTGAAAGATTCCACAAACCAAAATAGTGTAACGTAAGACCTCAATTTTATCTTTTTATTATCTCTTGCCTTTTTATCTTACATTTTGTCATCTTTTTTGGCATAAAGAATTGGTAAAGTGAGATAGCATGATGGCTGAATTATTCAGGATGTATGTGTTTAACATATTTCTATGGACTTATGAAATGCAAGTTAGTTTTATATTTGTTCCGTGCCAGAGGGGCATTTTGACACTAATTTAAAATTGCTTTTGTATTTGAAACTGACTTTTGTTGGCTTCTAACTCTGACTTAAAAGATTCCACATATTGTATTAGAAATGGTGAGGATATCTCCATGCTCAGTGTCTGTGCTGTTCTACTCTAGATAAATATTTTAAATGTTTACCATCAAAACCTCAGAAAGTATCCTTGCTTCAGTTCAAGATATTTTATTGAAGTTTGCATCAAATTTTTATTTTGGTTTATTTTATTTCTTAAAATGTGTGTTGTCCTTGAGGCACTTTTAAGATCCACTGTGTTTATGTAGCTGCGTACTTCTCTGTTGGGCGGGCAGGGGGAAGCAATGCCATTACAGTGATGGCATCCATTCTAAACTCTTCATCCTTGACTAGAAATGGCAATACAGGTCTTGAATGTCAGTGGTTGTATACCAATACTTAGAGCAGGACAGTGTTTAGTTTTAACTATCAGTATTTTCAAACTGCTTAAATATTGAGTTCAAAACTACATTTGATTTCTGGGCAGTTTGGAGCTGGAAGGAACTCTTTAACAATGCCATCAAATCATCGTGATACAAGATAACATGGTGTTATGCTGACTGCTGTTTTAAATA